AATTTATACAAGAAAAGACCGCGGCTAATTGTGTTATTAGCAACACCTGCGAACGCAAATCTGTGATTTTCGAATAGCTAAGAAATTACATTGGCATTTTTAGTTAAAGATTGCGTATTCATTATTACGGTATGTTGCAAACTCTATGTAAAATCATTAATTCAAATTAAGGAAATCTCGTTTTATTGTTGAAATAAAAAATTTTGAGATTGCATATTATTAATTCACTTATGTAACATGAACTATGTAATTTGCGCTTTCTATATAATTTCATAGTCACAATGTCTAAGAAAAATATTTATTATATAAATTATAAAAGTATATGTTTTTAAAGAAGTAAAATTTAATCGATTTCTAACAGCTGTATGTATAAAGCATGCGGTATTAAAAATGTATTTTAAAAATTTTATTTCATAATTAAAAACACACACACACACACACACACTTTTCATTGCTCTGTATTCTTTTTTTCAAGTAATATTGAGCAGGTTGGTATATATAGAAAAACTCGGATCAATACCGTACAATTATTATATAGTTAACTAAAACGGATTATAAAGGTTTAAATGAACTTTTATAGAACTTTTATACTTCTCTCGAGAAAGAATTCATGATCGACCATTTGCAAGGATATTCAAAGATATTTTAAAAGTCATGTATTATAAAGCTTTTGACTTTACAATATGTATCTATAAGAACTTCAGAGATCCATTCGATATTTTCTATATTCAGAAAATCTTAAAAATTGCTATTTACTCTTGTTGTAATACATATTCTTTTTAACAAAATTACATTATTTCATATTGAGAGCATAATTATACTTATATCCGTTGTGTAGATTTTCAAATTGCTCGGAACATAAAATGAGATTTATCACATATCGCCCGGAGGCACTTCGACACTCATTACAGAGTATGTCACGTGTCATTGCGAGATAAGTCGCGGTATTTAAACTGGATTGGTTGGCGTTCGCGTGCACGATAGTATTTTATGCTTACGGTTGACATTTGTTCGAACCGGTCGGAGTGACAAATTGCACGAGGTCAGTAGATGGAAGTCGGTTCATACATTGCGCAAGTTATTTATCGTTGGCGCGAATTGTTTTCGTTTGAGAAGTTTGCGAATAGCGCTCATTGCTACCGATAATCATCATCTTGCAATTGTGACAATGAATAGAAATGATAGGAGGATCTCTCTCTCTCTC